ATTTCTATTTTTTCACCTGCATCCTACAGATACCAGGAAACTTCAGAAGAACTGGCCTGAAACTGTATATCGCCATAAAGGCTTGGGATTGTTTACACCTACGGACAATCGATACAGGCTAGGAAATAAGGTTTGCATGGACGTAATGTGCCAGTATGGCAATTAATTTTGCACTACAGGGTCTCACATCAGTGACAGACAGAAATAAATGACTATTTTAAAATATATAATCCTGACAGTCTTTCAACTACATTACTACCTAAGGTTTATACTGTATGGAAAAAAATCTACACATGGATAATCATGATGTTTCTGCAAGTTGAAAGAAATAGTTTATAAGAAGTAGATTCAACAGCTACATCTTGCAGCTAGTGATTATGGTGATGGATAACCGATTTGTAGACGTTGTAGAATGTTAGAACTGAACAGGAGTCTGTTATTAGAAATAAATGACTATTTTAAAATATATAATCCTGACAGTGTTGAAGTGTTGAAACCTTCGTTAAAATAACAGGTTGAGTTATATTTTAACTTCCAGTATCCAAAGAAACCTAATCTTGATCGAATTCATGCATTGAATAAATTGTGTGATTTGCACGTACTCCACGGCCAAACTGGTCCAGCAAAACAAACCTGAAAAGCATTTATGAATATTTTAAAATTGCTATATTATTAGAAAGAGATTATACTTGCAAGTATTCCTTTGACTATCGGGTAAACATACAGTTGGTTTATGTTCAGCAGATTACTGACAAATTTTAAATTGACGTGAATCAAAGAAAGAATGATGGGGTGATGGGGGAAAGGAAAAATATTTACAAAATAGAATTCCTGCAATGACAGCCTGGGCACAGGGGGAGTCTAGAGGAGAGTGCAGAGTCGGCTGTTTTTCTCGAGGGGACCATATTGCTTTGGTGTGTGCAGCAGGCCGCTATATACGCTGTACTGATTCCCCCATAGCCAGTGTCATATATTTTGGTGCTGTTTGGTGGGGGTGGTGTGGGAATTAAGGTAACAGAGGCTGGTAGGGTGAGCAAACTTTTGAGAAAAACTAGCTCAGTCAAACTAGCTGGTCTGGCAGCTTTGGGAAAAGAGTGGCAGAAGGAAGAGAGAAGTTCAAATAATAATAAGGTCCATCCTCTCAACTGAGAGCTGGTAAGATGGAGGATCCCTGGCAGCCAGTGGCACGTGGACTGGGGGGTGCAAGGCTGAGTGTTTCCTGTATGCTGTCACTATTTCATCCCCCTCCTTTCGGTGTCTTTAACTCCATCCAGGTCAGGGAACAGAAACTCGACTTTTTCATGCATCATGCTAAATTACTCACCTTCCATATTTTTAATGCTCGTGTTTATAATGCTGTTGAAGAACAACAACAACAAAAAAACCCAAATGATAAACAGAAATCTTACTAAATAAAATTGTTTCTCCAAATTTCTCACATTCTACCACAGCGAATGGTTTTAGGAATAAAGTAAAGTGCAAAACCTAATATTGCGGAACATAATAGACTGCTGTCCGTAAACCCTATAAAGCAAGCTAGGTTTTCAGCAACACTCGTTTTTATTCATTGTTAAGCTCTACTGATTAGTAACATTGATGCATGACTACAACCTGACCCTTCAGTGTGGAAAACAGGCACAAAGCAGCACGTGCGTGTGTGTGTCTGTGTGTGTGTGTGCGTGTGTGGTAGGAGGGAGGACGTTCTCAAAAATTACCCTGGATATGAACCACGTCCTGCACTACTCAGTGATCCATGGAGCATTCAACAAGAGCGGTAATTCCCTAATGGAATTAATTGCAAGTTTCAACTGTGAACTCTAACCCTCTTCCTCCGTTGGCTGGGTTTTGGTTTTAGTCATGCGCAGAGGAGGGTTTCTTTAAGAGTGGAGCAAGAAGGCGACAGTCTGCTTATTATTTCCATACAGGTAGGCATATGTAAGGCCCCTTGAAAATATAATCATGAAATACAAGCATTAGACACTGAGAACACCTTTAAAAGAAATAAATGGTATTTCGTTGAAACGGCAATGGAAAAAGAGAAGCTGAATATTATTTATAGAAAAAAATTGTAGACACATTCCGTTAAAGCTTTGTCTCTTAAGATATAGGCGTGCAATTTGACTCTGCCAACAATATTGACCGTATAAGAAAACTCACTGCGCTGTCCGACACACTGGAAAGGACATTATAAAATAATTCTTCTGAACTTCTGATAATTCTAAGGCTATAATTTCTCATCCAAATTAAAATATTATGATTTTAGTCTCATATGTTGAAACCAACCTTGTTGATTGTTAACAGCCATGAGCAGCTTGAAATAATGTGTGTATGTACTGCAGAAATAATGGACGCATCCGCTGCAGAAATAATATGTGCATCTATTGCAGAAATAATGGACGCATCCACTGCAGAAATAATATGTGCATCTACTGCAGAAATAATGGACGCATCCACTGCAGAAATAATGTGTGCATCTACTGCAGAAAGAAACCCTGCAACCCTGCTGTTTTCAACTGTGTTAACCATAGAGATGCACCGATACCGATATTCGGATCTGTATCGGCGCCGATCCAGACCTATTTAACGGATCGGGAATCGGCCATGCGTGACCGATCCACGTCCTATACTTACTTATTTAGTTTTTGGCAATCAATCGCACGACAGCTCTTTCCCATTTTACATGTGTGTTTTTGCGGAATTCAAATCGAACGCTATCACTGCCCCTAAGTATTTTTTGCTACTCAGTGGGTGTGAGTACAGTGACTTCCGCCTGCTGTGAGGTCATGCTCATACCCTTCGCAGTACGAGGAGCGTAAGATAAGACGTGACGATCTGGGAGTATTTTAGGCTTTTAACAGAAATCGGAAGCACAGCGTTTTGCAATCTATGTAAAATAAGGTTTTGAGGTGGGAATAGCGTTTAATGGAAAATCCCATTTAACAAAGCGCACGCAACTGCGAGACAAAACAAAGCAATGGATGATTTGGGAGGTCGCTAACTGTTTTGCGAACTCGTTGCTTGAGATACAAGAGGGGCTGCCATCGCAACAAAAGTGTAACTGCGCTGATGCCAATGGGAGAAAAACTGTTAATTTTAAGCATTCGCCACTTGTGTATATTTGCTTTGAAGATATTCATATTGAACTGCAAATGCCTCAAAAACGCTTAAAATAAATGAGGTGGAACAGTACGTTATGTATGTAGCCTAATTAAATATTTTTTGTCATACATTTTTTCCATCTGTATTAACTAGCTTAAAAAAAATAATATGTAAAGTATAACAAAGTAAAAAGAGCTCTTGTATCGGAATCTGTATCGGTATCGGCAGTTGTGTATCGAAAACGGATCGGAACTGAAAAAACGTGGATCGCCCATCTCTAGTTAACCACAAATCAAATTTATCATTAATTTTTCTTAAAGCATTTCTGTAAGTCCCCATGACCCTATTCAGGATAAATAATTTGAAGTTGGTTGGCTGGATGGATGGATGGATGGGAGAGTGGATAAATGAACTTCTGGAAGCTCACAAGTATGTTTTTAAATTCAGTCCACATTCAAATTTGGGTTCCTATAATAAAATGCATAAATTTGTGTAGAAATATGTAGAAAAGCAAAATCAATCTACCACCATGCAAAAATGCGAGTGATATAATGCATTTTTAAACTGGCCTTTTCAGGGGTTTGCCAGTATATTAAGATGCCCCTTGCCCTCCTTTCCCCCCAAACGCTATGTAACATAGCCCTACTGTTTCTGAAACACTTGGTTTTGTTTTAGAATCTCTGCAAATATGTCAGAGTTGCATTTCTCTTGCAATACACTCACATTGCTCTTCTGTATCAACTGGGTTGGAGGAAATGTTTAACCCATTAGTCAAGTCAAAACCCACATTCACCCCTGGTGCTTTGGTGTCCAAAGTACAGATATTTTTTTAGACAACTTACATCTCTGTGCAAAGTGGTCAGTGCAACCGGTTCAGCACAACTGATTGGCGTCATGGGAAGGTGGAGATTTCTGACAGGAAACTCAGTCTAGACATTCCCCTCCGGTGACTGCAGACCACTACAACAAGAAAACCCAATCTTCCACCTCAAGGTGATACCTAGACTCTCTAAAGCTGTTCTCATGCACTTTACCTTGTTTTTACCCACAATGAAGTGAGTGTCAGGGTAGGAATACATCACAACTGGCCAGAGTGCGCTGCAGAGCCCACTGAGTGCAACAATGCTGCTTTTCATCCCTAGTGACTAACAACCACTTGCCACAATAATTACTGCCACCCCAGGGATCATGCACTAGTTTACAATTACTCTGAATAGGCAGCTTAAAGCATAGCCTGTTGTTAATCTTAAAAATGCAAACCACATAGGGATAGCGTTAGACCAATGTTTGATATTTCAAATCAATTAATAATCTTACAGAATCAAAGACATGCTACAAGGTGATAAATTATATAAAGCACACTAGACACATACACCTCAAAACTAATGCAACTTCTCCATTTTCTTGTTCTCAGTTATATGCAACGTGCAATTTTCATGGTGCCATGCAGAAAATGCTTCTTAGCATACTTTTCTCTGCGGGAACCTCTGAGACACACAGAACACATACATTTTTATTTATAATCCCTTTTCTAAAAACGTCTTTTATGAACTGCAATAACAATAGAGGCACTGCACACCAACACAGGTATTACATCTTGGATTTGTTATAATACTTTGTTTTCATACTTTGCTAATCATATTGATTTTTTTTTAAAAATCCACTCTTTCTGAAAGCAATTTGTGATAATTATACATAGTTAATTAAACTACAGATTCGTATATAATGAGGACAGTTTCGGTGAGAAGAACCCTGTACAATCAATGTGCAGAGTACTGATACAGTATGTGCTGTGAAGGTTCAAGATGGCTGTGTACTTCCATCTTGCATTTCCCACGTGAAGAGTGACAGACACACGCTGCAGTTTTTTGCTTTTAACAAAAACAAATGATACTACGGAATGGTTTCCACAGCTATGACAAAGTCCAATTCTTTATTTACTCCGAGTCAGAGAAACACACTCATCCAACAGAGAAAACAAATAAAAACACTTATTCCAGCTCCACAAGAAGATCACCTTCCCCAACAGTGTCCCCTGCCTTACAGTGCACACTTTTAACCTGCATGACCAGAAAAAGAAATGACATTTTCAATAACATATTCCAATTGTGGTTGTATGTAAATAAAAGTAACGGGTGTAATCATTGTGAACAGGGATAATCTATTAATCATAATATACTATAACGATAAAACTATTATCTGCGTGTGGAGATGATAGTGCAGTGTGTTCTCACCTTGGCTGTTTTGGAAGCAGTCATGCTGTTCTGCATCTTCATGGCTTCTATGACACAGATCTCCTGGCCCTCAGCCACCTAGAGAAACAGCAGAAATAAAGTATCGATGAAGGATCGATACCACTTTGGCCAAAGAATGACAGCAGAACCAAGATTATTTGGTAACACTTTACTTGAAGCAGTCTACATAAGGGTGACATGTAACCGTCATAAGAATGACACGACACATGTCATGTACATTAATGAGACATTATTGATGTTTATGACTGTTGTCATAATATGTCATTCAGTCTTTGGAACTTTGCAGTCCCCTGACAAAAAATCTACTTGACAGGATGCCTTAAGTGTCAATTTAAAGAAAGCAGAAACACAAGTCTTTTTCACAAAACTAATGCGGTCTGAGAAACTTCCCTAACTCCCTGTGTATTTCACAGACTGTTTTTGTAGTTTTAAGGGGGAATCTTTCCTTGGGCTTCCATATACAGTCACGGCCAAAAGTTTTGAAAGTATTGGCTTTCACAAAGTTTGCTGCTTCAGTGTTTGTAGATCCTTTTGTCAGATGTTTTTATGGCATATTGAAGTATAATTACAAGCATTTAAGTGTCAAATTATATTAAGTTTATGCAAAGTGTCGATATTTGCAGTGTTGGCCCTTCTTCAAGACCTCTACAATTCGCCCTGCCATGCTGACAATGAACTTCTGGGCCAAATCCTGACTGATGGCAGCCCATTCTTGCATAATCAATGCTTGGAGTTTGTCAGAATTTGTGGGTTTTTGTTTGTCCACCCGCCTCTTGAGGATTGACCACAAGTTCCCAATGGGATTAAGGTCTGGGGAGTTTCCTGGCCAGGGACCCAGAATGTCGATGTTCTGTTCCCCGAGCCGCTTGGTTATCACTTTTGCCTTATGGCACGGTGCTCCATCGTGCTGGAAAAGGCATTGTTGGTCATTGTTGGGAGAAGTTGCTGTTGGAGGATGTTTTGGTACCATTCTTTATTCATGGCTGTGTTCTTAGGCAAAATTGTGAGCGAGCAACCCCACACATAAATGGTCTCAGGATGCTTCACTGTTGGCATGACACAGGACTGATGGTAGTGCTCACCTTTTCTACTCCGGACAATCTTTTTTCCGGATGCCCCAAACAATCGGAAAGGGGATTCATCAGAGAAAATGACTTTACCCCAATCCTCAGCAGTCTAATCCCTGTACTTTTGTCAGAAAATCAGTCTGTCCCTGATGTTTTTCTTGAACAGTAGTGGCTTCTTGGCTGCCCTTCTTGACACCAGGCCATCCTCCAAAAGCCTTCGCCTCACTGTGCATGCAGATGCACTCACACCTGCCTGCTGCCATTCCTGAGTAAGCTCTGCCCTGGTGATGCCCTGATCCCACAGCTGAATCAAGTTTAGGAGACGGTCCTGGCGCTTGTTGGACTTTCTTGGGTGCCCTGAAGCCTTGAACCTTTCTTGTTGAAGCGCTTGATGATCAATAAATGGTTGATTTAGGAGATGATGCGATAAATGGTTGATTTATCTTACTAGCAGCAATTTCCTTGCCTGTGAAGCCCTTTTTGTGCAAAGCAATGATGACTGCACGTGTTTCCTTGCAGGTAACCATGGTTAACAGAGGAAGAACAATGATTTCAAGCACCACCCTCCTTTTAAAGCATCCAGTGTACTATTCTAACTCAATCAGCATAACAGGCTGATCTCCAGCCTTGTCCTTGTCAACACTCTCACCTGTGTTAACGAGAGAATCACTGAAATGATGTCAGCAGGCCCTTTTGCGACAGGGTTGACATGCAGTGGAAATGGGTTTTTTGGAATTGAATTCATTTTCATGGCAAAGAAGGACTCTGCAATTAATTGCAATTAATCTGATCACTCTTCGTAACATTGTGGAGTATATGAAAATTGTCATCATAAAAACTGAGGCAGCAGACTTTGTGAAAATTAATATTTGTGTCATTCTCAAAACTTTTGGCTACGGCTGTACTCCTCTGGGACTGGGTGAAAGGTTACATTCAAAATTAATCAGCAGGCTATGATTAGGGAGCAGCCTGCCTCGTAGCTTTGTTTACTTCCATGCACATATTTTGAAGAAGAGCTCATGGCTGCAGAACATTCTAGAACCATTTCCAAACAACCACTGCCCATGATTCATTGCATCTGGTGGGAAATGAAAGCAATAGGCAACCAGCTGCTTATCTTTGTCCACAGAATTTCTATAAAGGAATTAAGCAATTAAGGCAGATTATGCGAGATTTGGGAAATTATCAGCTTCAAGATTTTGAAAAATAAAATAGAAAAAAAACTTGACATGGGGATAGTGGTTGATTATATTTTCAAAGGTTTCCTATAGAGTCACAACAAGCCATGTAGTGCAAATCAGCCTTGGGCACCAATTATATTGGCACTAATCATTTTCATTGTTTGACTAACACAAACTCATATTATACAGATAAATAGCTCACTGAATAATTTGCCCAACTGCAAAAAGAATTCAGTGAAATAAGAGAAAAATGCTAAACCTTTTATTTAAAAACCAGGGACTTTCAGCAGCTGTTTTGCAAAACAAAATCGAAATAACTGCATCTTATTGAAAATATGGTGCACTGAGATGGAAATTTATTAAGCGGCAGCAGTTAATGCATGCATTATTCATTTCTGGTGAGCATGAAGAATGATTTAAAGAGGTCTGAAATTGCAGATGCAAAGGCTGACTGCACAGTGCCCGACTTGTTCATTTCATCCTTTAGAGAGGCACAGGAGTGTGATCCCCGTCACTGGACAGGGTTTACAGTAACAGCTGTGCTCTTCTCACAAGGGGGTGAGCAGTGAGCTGAGCTGTGGTCTGTATGGAGCAGATGGAAAAATACATCAGTGCCACCGCCCCCACCCTCCACACACACACACACACACACACACACACACAAAAAAAACTGTTATTAAAAATACAACATATTCCACATTGGGATAATGTAGCCCCTGAATGGACTTCAGTTGTTTGTTTAGTTAAAACAACACTGTGCCAGGGGCAGCGGCTTGGTTTTGGTGCCATATCTGGCCAGAAAGGCCGAGCCTGACGGAGACCCCTACGACGGACTTTTCTTCCTCTTTGTTTCGAGGCTTTTTAAACCCCTCTTCCGCCCGGCGCACTCTGCCACGGCGCAGGCTGCAGTGGAAATGGTGCCAGTGGCATATGGCTTTCACTGCGCTAAACATTCATACAAAAGACAGGTTCATCAGTCACTGCAGAGGCCAGATGAGGGCAAAATATGAGGCCCTGATGGATGGTATTTAGTACTAACCTGCTGGCAGCGCATTACCAGCGAAATGCAGGTTCCCTGGACCACAGGAACTGCAGAGCGTGAAATGCCCCACTCACAAGCGCACATCATCTACGCCAGGTTATAGCAAATAATAAATAAGCTATTTAAACCCTCTGCGAGGAACCCAGGGTCAGGCCTGCACAGGCCAATTAATGCACAGCATCTGCTGTACGCGGGCAGCACATGAAGAACTTCCGAACGATTCAGACAATTAAAGGAAAACTGTTTCCTGCCTGTTCAAAATGTCTTATTGCTAGAGTGGGCACCAAATCGCTCTGTAGATTTGAACAAATTAAGCCATTCTTTGGGGAATCTTTATTTTTATGGTGAATGCCTTCCTTTGTTCTTCCTTTGGCCGAGTGTTTTTCTGCCAAATTTAACAGACGGCTCAGAGGCTAACAGGGGTCCACCCCAGTATCACCTTCTGCTGCTGAACAACTACCCAAGACAGACAACCACTCTGAACCCTGCTGTCTGTTCCACAATGTGAAAATCCTTTAATTAGGCTCTATTATGCTGCATTTCCCTTTCAAGTTGTTAGATCATATATACAAAAATATATACCTTAAAAAATCCAGTTCAATTCATTTTCCATTACTCTCTTTCACCAGACAGTGAATGATATACCCATTTCTCGTGCAAATGTTGCATTTAACTTTTAAGGCAATATGATTGGGTATCAATGGGTGTAGTACAGCCATTTTACATGGTTGGCTTGAATGCGAATTTGTCCCCGCATTTCAGAGTTTCACATATGATAAATATTATATCGTTTAACTCCGCTACATTAAATTGTCACTACCATAACCATGAAAGCCTTTAAATGCAGTGCTTGATATTACCTATAGGGGCAGTGCTGGCTGCAAAACAGCCAAGCACCTTCAGAGACAGACCGGAAAGAGAGAATAAGTGCTGTCAGTGTTTCAGTAATGTCTGGAAACAGACTTTAAAAAAACAATCGCAAAATGAAATCATATTTATAAACTAAAATACTCCTATTAACTTAGTCTGTCAGTTCAGAATAAAAAATAGCAGCAAAAGAATGAAATCTATCATGCTAAATAATAAAAAACTTTCAATTTTAAAACCAAATATGAGGCTTGTTTGAGAAACGTTGGGTTGCTTAATGTCTCTCTTAATTCACAAAATGGATAACCTTTGTTTGCAATATGTTCTCATACATAAAAATGTTTTACATTTTAAATAGTATTTTTCATTAGTATAACACAAATATAGAGATTTACTAAAAAGATGCTCGAGTGCCAAAATGTATAGTTTTTATATATTAAAAAAATAGAAAAAATAAATTACGTTGATTTTAGAAACAACATTTTTTAGAAGGTTAATAAAAAATATTTAGATCTTTATGAAGTAAACCATAAAAAGAATTTATGATTGTTTATTTACATGAGAACAGTAGTGATCATTTTTAAGCTTGTTGGATAAACTACAAGGCTGAGTGACGGCAGTTTGTTTGTGTTATCTCACAGTTCATTTGGTAATCTCACCAGTAATAAGTCATAATTAGGGGACACTGGAAAACCACAACAGATTTTTTCCCCATTTAATTGCCAAGCATTGTTAGCCAAGCGCTTAACAGTCTCGGATTTGTGCCTGTTCCACGCGGCAGAATCCATACATTGTAAAGGGGATCTGCTAATGCTCTCCACTCAGCAATGGGTTCTGGCCGGGGCCACGGGGCCACGGGGCGATGTATGCACGGCCCTTTGTTCTGCCGACTCTCCATTGTTAGGTTTTCTATGCAAGGCGTTCAGTCATCACCATGTACATTTTTGCAATGAATCCAAAATACGTTCATTTGCATCTTGGTTTCAATAATCTGACTCTGGTTCATGCAGATGACCGACTGGAACAGCCACAACATTCACATCGTCAATGGGGGTCGACAACCTTCCTAAATACTGCCACAATACCCCTGTCAGTAGCCTGTCATTTGTTTGCTAAAGATTCTCACTGAACAGTTCAGCCTTTTATGCATTATTGCATCACAATATCAGGCAATACTTCCAGTGTTTCCCCCAGTTAAAAGAATAAAGCTCTTAATTATAATATGCAAGGGATGAAATAACTTCACAACAATAGCAGTTCTTTCCTTAATCTCACTGTCTGATAAGTATGTCAGCTTTGATGGCATTTTCCCCCCATAAAGCAAATTATATTTCCAAAAATAAATGTACTCTCCACTCATACTGCAGCAAGGTTAATTTATTAAATCTTATTCCTACTTCTGATATTTCTGAAATACCAGTATTTGTTAATTTTGCTTTTGAATCACTAACACTTTCATTAAAATCACAAAAAAAGTTGTAAATCCACGTTTTCAGCTGAAAATCAGGAGCGTTTTGCAATCCCAGCTACTGGCATGTATCTAATTTTTTAAAACATTGAAGAATAAATTGGAAAAAAAAGTTTAACAACATGCCGGTCGTCCGACTCATTAAATTAATAAAAAAAAATGTAAAGTAACAAAAAAAAAACATTCGTATAATCTGCTGAAAGGCAATTTCTAAGATCTAGACAAAAAACAGGGAACTTTGATAAACAGGCACAACGAGTAATCTTAGAACTCATATTTATCCCAATGACGAAACTCCACCGGATCTATTCGAATTCATGAGGGTTGTGCAGAATAGGAAGGATTTAACTTCAGTCCCTTTCAAGGTGGTAAATGTGTTTTTGTAATTATAACCACACAATTAACACTGACAAGTCTAGGTCAGCAGAGCAGAGCTTAGCTGGTCAGATGTTCGCCAATCTAAGCACACGGTGCAGACAGCTGCAGAACAAGAAGAGGAGACTATGCAGAGGAAAACATTCGGAACAAGAGAGAGTTCCTGAAGAACAAGACAGACTTCAGCCCACAAAATCCCGGATTTTACAGCACATTACATTTTCTGTGTCTTGTATTACACTGCGGCCCTGCTATTTAGCAGACCTTAAAAGAAGCTACACTCTTTTCTACACAGCTTATTTACTCTGCTACAGTAGATAAATCCACTTTCCTGTGAAGCGAAATACCAGTTAACAGGTCAAGAATGTATTTTATTTAACTCCAATGCCTGTTAAGATTTTACTAAAATCAGAATATCATTTTCTCTGAAACTCCCTTAAAAGAACACATTTATCTATGTATTATATATGTACCCACTGTATCCTTTGTATCACACACACAAGCACACAATACCATGCAAAAGACTATCAATGAAAATAATGTTTAAGTTACCTTTATGTTGGTGTAAAGTTATGATTTTAGGTCTTTTAAAGTCACTCCAAAAGTTGCAGTTAACAATCAATATACCTATGCATCTGTTGTCGCAGCCACTAACATACCATGTTTCATTTGTTTTGCTAATTAAGTTAATTAAGTGAGCTGCTGGTGAAATGTATCGAATACACAGAATGGCTGGCGTGCCTCTGAGGTGATGCAGTGATGCAGTGCCATTTCACAAGATTGCAGTAACTTTTTGGAGAACAGAACAAATTCTTGCTACTTCTTTTATTGTTACTGTTTATTCGCATATAGTGTTAAATAGTGTTCTTTGAGCAAATATGCACTACTATAACTTTTAAGTTTTGTTTTGCACAGTACTGTGAGTATAGACAGTGCATCATATATAAAATGATATATGTATATATATATAAAAACAGGTTGCCAAGTACATGATTTCAGCTTAAAACAAACTCATTCTTTAACAAACATCTGCTTTATGCCAAGATTTGAAGCTTTTAAATTGAAGCAAAACGAAGAGAAAAAAAAAAGTGTGACTACTGCTTTTTTTCTTTCATTGTCGAGTCGTACTATTACCTATTCTTTACACTTTACAAATTGCTACTGGTCTGTGAACATGCACAAATTGCTGATAATTTCCTTTAATGGTACGTGAAAGGCCATCCCTGTCTTTAAACATTCATTTAAGCCTCAAGTTTTACTCAATGAAAAGCAGAATTCAGGTACATTTAAGTGAAGTTGACACAGCCTTTTAAAGAGTGCACTGTTCCCTCATAGCAACTCAGCCATGAAATTACAATGGCCCTCCTTCAACATCAAGCCCATTAGAACTGCAACAAGCCATTATTCAAAGGCTCATTGCAGTTTTTGTACTTTTGCTGCCGGCTGAGCAATTTAAAGGTGCCTGTTAGGGTGACCAGCTGAGGACTGTTTTGTAGAAACGAAGAAATCTGGAAATAAACTAACACAATTCTGGTATAAGCACTTAATTAAAATGGGTACTGGTGAAGTCCTAAGGATTAATGGCTATTAAGGCTGCATTTCTGATTTACTGTGGGGGAACTGGGGGAAGGGGTTGACCTTAAATCAAACAAATTGGCAAAATGTTCAAATAAAAATATACACATTTAGAATACATTTAAAAATAAAAAGACAAAGAAAAGGACAACAGAGTATTGTAATTAAGCTACATTAATATGGTTTTCATTAATTATACTACCTGAAAAATAACACACAAGATCACAACACATTAGTCAAGGAAAATTTTGGTTTCTATGAAGGTTAAAATCTATACATGAAGAGAAGCGCATTGTTGTTTGCTGACTGTATCACAGCAAAAGGCACTGCTGTGTGCTCACTGCACTGATGTGTGGTCACTGCACTGCTGTGTGGTCACTGCACCGCTGTGTGCTCACTGCATAGCAGCGAACCACTAGCATGCTGAACCAGGCGAAGACTAGCGGGGGCCCCCCAGCACGGCTTTCCCACGGGTGCCACTGAGCGGCGCAGAGCCTGGCGTTCTCCTGGCCCTGCGGTGGGCATGCGGGGGCCCTCGGCGCCCATCCTTACCGTATCGCCGGGCATGACGGACACCGCCACCACGGAACCGGGCATGGGGGAGCGGAGGATACTGCTGGTGTCTTCTGGCACCTTCTCGGGCATGTGTTTACTCAGGACAGCTGCCAGCTTACTCAGCACCCGCACCTTATACTGCACGGCATGCAGGGGGATGGAGAACACACACAGGTTAGGCCACAATGCACGTCTCTCAGCGACCAACCAGGGCAGAATCACAGAGCACAACAATGCCGTACAAATGCACACCTGAGTAAGCATGTGTTTCGCTGAATGGAAAATAGTATCAAGTAAAGCAGCGATGAGCAGTTTAAAAAATATATATTAAGAGGAAAATGGAGGGAAACAGAGTTTAGACTTTAAAACGTACTTTCAAATTTTTCCCTCTGCTAAACAGTCACTTTGGGAATTCTTGCCGAATTTTATTTAAACGTTCCATTTGCCAAGCATTTTTGAAATTGCGAATGCAACTCTGAGACGATGGAGCAACTTATGTTTACATATTAATATTTGATTAAACGTATGTGTCTTGCAAACATCTAAGAGAAAGGCACTTTACACCAAAACTGCTCCACGTAACGCTTCGCAATTCATTCATCAATCCGTAATGAGAATCAAGAACAGGAACACCTACTGACGTTTTGCATATAATCCAGTAGATGGCAATATATCTCTGGTTTTGTGGCAGTATTTATTTATTTATCTTTTTCTTTTAATTATCCGTTTGGCTAAGCAACAACTTTGGAAGGAGAAGAGCAGGTAAATATTGTGAATAATTCAGACAGGGCCTCGAACTATTTGTGGGAATGATCAAAGGGAAAAAAAAATCCCTTTTTTTCTAAGCCTTTAACTTGGAGTGGGGAGAACAGGGATGCTGCAGGATACAAATCCTACCTGGAGAGTCTCCTTCATTAGCACTGTTACATAAGCAGGTGAGAGAGCGTTGAGCCTACTTAAAGCGTTAACAATGCCACAAAACTGCCTCCTGCAACAGTGTTACAGTACATGCACAAATAAAGAGCTATAATGCATGCAGCCCCTATTTGGCAAATGCTTCAGAAAGGATTTTACAGGAAGACTGCTGAAACACTGTGAGCCCCATCGCAGCACTGACTGTCACATCAAAAAGACTCTGGTAAGACTTCTCCATTGCCTCGGTAAACAATTTAATATTTGATGCACACAGATTCTTCTGCCGGTTTGTGCTGCGCGTGTGGCATTTGGAGAGGACGTAATTTGCAATCAGAGCATGTGAAGGCCCTGAGAATTCAATCACGAAGTCAGATAAGGAGGCAGATAAAAGGCACTTGCTCACATAAAAATATTCTAAATTAAGGCCAGGAGAGGGAGGGCCGGCATAAAACAGCCCCATCGATGCGACAAACAAGCTATTTGCAAAGAAATTCACCAAAGATAATTACAGAGCCAGAGTGAGTGCATTATCAACCCCGGAAACCAAAACGTGTGCAATTAGACGCATTCGTCCATTTCTCACGTCACGTGTCAGTGCCTGTAATGTATCTCATACACGAGAATGGTGTCATGGACAGGCTATTCACTCTTCTCAAGTGAAGACGCTCACCTACATTACGCTGTGTAGCGAAGACGCTCACCTACGTTACGAT